CTTTAAGTTTCTGTCTGTTGTGATGCATTGAGCACCATCGCGAAAGAACTTGCAGGGATACAAATGAATTTACCATTTTTCTTCTACACATGTAGCATTTGATTTATTTAAGAATATTTAAAAAAAAATCAAAACCATCTCTTAAAAATATGCTGTGATCGACAGTATCAAAGAACCATGAAAACATAGCTATCACTTTGCTAAAAACAATTTGCACGAAAGTTCATCATATTCTGAGAATGCTGGAGCCATAATGTTATGATAACATTGTGACTGGCCTCTTTAACCTAATAACAGTAATTCAGTGAGAACATAGTGCCTATTTGAAAGCATTATAAGTGGATTAAACAAAACAAAAGAGAAATTATCACGCACATTTACCGAAACAAATGTTTCCATTGCATATCAAATTATGTCAATGATTAAACACAGGAAGTGATTGATTCAGTTGTGTCCTGTCAAATAAAATGACTTGATGTGTATCAAATGACAACATGTCACATACTCCACAAGGATTGTCATGTCAAGCATGAATAAAAACAACAAGATCAGTAAAATAATAACTGGCATTAGGAAGATGGGTGAAGGGCGGGATAGACTTCTTGTGTCAATAATCAAATGTAGTAAAAGTCAGAAAGTTATTCTAACTTAAATATTTTTAATACATGAGGTATGAAATTTATTTTTTATAATTTTGCTTAAAATGTGAAAAAGAGACTGATTCCAATCTTATGGTTGGCGTGAGTTAGTGAGTTGGGTTTAATGATGCTTAAAACAGCATATAGTTATATTGCAGTATGTCAGCTTAATGTGGGAGGAAAGCCTGAAGTGATGCAGGTCTCAGACGTTTACCACTTCGGTGCAAACCACGAGAACATACCTTTATGGTGCTGACAAACCTTGAAAAGAAAATTGAAGTATACCAGAATTCAAACACATGCAAGTCTGCTACAATCTTATACACTGTGTAGGAGCTACAGTCTTATACACTGTGTAGGAGCTACAATCTTATACACTGTGTAGGACCTACAATCTTATACACTGTGTAGGAGCTACATATCTTATACACTGTGTAGGAGCTACAATCTTATACACTGTGTAGGACCTACAATCTTATACACTGTGTAGGACCTACAAGCTTATACACTGTGTAGGACCTACAATCTTATACACTGTGAAGGAGATACAATCTTATACACTGTGTAGGACCTACAATCTTATACACTGTGTAGGACCTACAATCTTATACACTGTGTAGGAGCTACAATCTTATACACTGTGTAGGAGCTACAATCTTATACACTGTGAAGGAGCTACAATCTTATACACTGTGAAGGAGCTACAATCTTATACACTGTGTAGGAGCTACAATCTTATACACTGTGTAGGAGCTACAATCTTATACACTGTGTAGGAGCTACAATCTTATACACTGTGTAGGAGCTACAATCTTATACACTGTGTAGGAGCTACAATCTTATACACTGTGTAGGAGCTACAATCTTATACACTGTGTAGGAGCTACAGTACTCCATTGTGTAGGAGCTATAATCTTATACACTGTGTAGGAGCTACAATCTTATACACTGTGTAGGAGCTATAATCTTATACACTGTGTAGGAGCTACAATCTTATACACTGTGTAGGAGCTACAGTACTCCATCGTGTAGGAGCTATAATCTTATACACTGTGTAGGAGCTACAATCTTATACACTGTGTAGGAGCTATAATCTTATACACTGTGTAGGAGCTACAATCTTATACACTGTGTAGGTGCTACAATCTTATACACTGTGTAGGAGCTACAATCTTATACACTGTGAAGGAGCTACAGTACTCCATTGTGTAGGAGCTACAATCTTATACACTGTGTAGGACCTACAATCTTATACACTGTGTAGGAGCTATAATCTTATACACTGTGTAGGAGCTACAATCTTATACACTGTGTAGGAGCTATAATCTTATACACTGTGTAAGAGCTACAATCTTATACACTGTGTAGGAGCTTCAATCTTATACACTGTGTAGGAGCAACAATCTTATACACTGTGAAGGAGCTACAGTACTCCATTGTGTAGGAGCTACAATCTTATACACTGTGTAGGACCTACAATCTTATACACTGAGTAGGAACTTCAATCTTATACACTGTGTAGGAGCTATAATCTTATACACTGTGAAGGAGCTACAATCTTATACACTGTGTAGGAGCTACAATCTTATACACTGTGTAGGAGCTACAATCTTATACACTGTGTAGGAGCTACAATCTTATACACTGTGTAGGAGCTACAATCTTATACACTGTGAAGGAGCTACAATCTTATACACTGTGAAGGAGCTACAATCTTATACACTGTGTAGGAGCTACAATCTTATACACTGTGTAGGAGCTACAATCTTATACACTGTGTAGGAGCTACAATCTTATACACTGTGTAGGAGCTACAATCTTATACACTGTGTAGGAGCTACAATCTTATACACTGTGTAGGAGCTACAATCTTATACACTGTGTAGGAGCTACAGTACTCCATTGTGTAGGAGCTATAATCTTATACACTGTGTAGGAGCTACAATCTTATACACTGTGTAGGAGCTATAATCTTATACACTGTGTAGGAGCTACAATCTTATACACTGTGTAGGAGCTACAGTACTCCATCGTGTAGGAGCTATAATCTTATACACTGTGTAGGAGCTACAATCTTATACACTGTGTAGGAGCTATAATCTTATACACTGTGTAGGAGCTACAATCTTATACACTGTGTAGGTGCTACAATCTTATACACTGTGTAGGAGCTACAATCTTATACACTGTGAAGGAGCTACAGTACTCCATTGTGTAGGAGCTACAATCTTATACACTGTGTAGGAGCTACAATCTTATACACTGTGTAGGAGCTATAATCTTATACACTGTGTAGGAGCTACAATCTTATACACTGTGTAGGAGCTATAATCTTATACACTGTGTAAGAGCTACAATCTTATACACTGTGTAGGAGCTTCAATCTTATACACTGTGTAGGAGCAACAATCTTATACACTGTGAAGGAGCTACAGTACTCCATTGTGTAGGAGCTACAATCTTATACACTGTGTAGGACCTACAATCTTATACACTGAGTAGGAACTTCAATCTTATACACTGTGTAGGAGCTATAATCTTATACACTGTGAAGGAGCTACAATCTTATACACTGTGTAGGAGCTACAATCTTATACACTGTGTAGGAGCTACAATCTTATACACTGTGTAGGAGCTACAATCTTATACACTGTGTAGGAGCTACAATCTTATACACTGTGTAGGAGCTACAGTACTCCATCGTGTAGGAGCTACAATCTTATACACTGTATAGGAGCTACAATCTTATACACTGTGAAGGAGCTACAATCTTATACACTGTGAAGGAGCTACAGTACTCCATTGTGTAGGAGCTACAATCTTATACACTGTGTAGGAGCTACAATCTTATACACTGTGAAGGAGCTACAGTACTCCATTGTGTAGGAGCTACAATCTTATACACTGTGTAGGAGCTACAATCTTATACACTGTGTAGGAGCTACAATCTTATACACTGTGTAGGAGCTATAATCTTATACACTGTGTAGGACCTACAATCTTATACACTGTGTAGGAGCTACAAGCTTATACACTTGTAGGAGCTACAATCTTATACACTGTGAAGGAGCTACAATCTTATACACTGTGTAGGAGCTACAATCTTATACACTGTGTAGGAGCTACAATCTTATACACAGTGAAGGAGCTACAATCTTATACACTGTGAAGGAGCTACAATCTTATACACTGTGTAGGAGCTACAATCTTATACACTGTGAAGGAGCTACAATCTTATACACTGTGTAGGAGCTACAATCTTATACACTGTGTAGGAGCTACAATCTTATACACTGTGTAGGAGCTACAATCTTATACACTGTGTAGGAGCTACAATCTTATACACTGTGTAGGAGCTACAATCTTATACACTGTGTAGGAGCTACAATCTTATACACTGTGTAGGAGCTACAATCTTATACACTGTGTAGGAGCTACAATCTTATACACTGTGAAGGAGCTACAATCTTATACACTGTGAAGGAGCTACAATCTTATACACTGTGAAGGAGCTACAATCTTATACACTGTGAAGGAGCTACAGTACTCCATTGTGTAGGAGCTACAATCTTATACACTGTGTAGGACCTACAGTACTCCATTGTGAAGGAGCTACAGTACTCCATTGTGTAGGAGCTACAATCTTATACACTGTGTAGGAGCTACAATCTTATACACTGTGAAGGAGCTACAATCTTATACACTGTGAAGGAGCTACAGTACTCCATTGTGTAGGAGCTACAATCTTATACACTGTGAAGGCGCTACAGTACTCCATTGTGTAGGAGCTACAATCTTATACACTGTGTAGGAGCTACAATCTTATACACTGTGTAGGACCTACAATCTTATACACTGTGTAGGAGCTATAATCTTATACACTGTGTAGGAGCTACAATCTTATACACTGTGTAGGAGCTACAGTACTCCATTGTGTAGGAGCTACAATCTTATACACTGTGTAGGAGCTACAATCTTATACACTGTGTAGGAGCTATAATCTTATACACTGTGTAGGAGCTACAATCTTATACACTGTGAAGGCGCTACAGTACTCTATTGTGTAGGAGCTACAATCTTATACATTGTGTAGGAGCTACAATCTTATACACTGTGAAGGCGCTACAATCTTATACACTGTGAAGGAGCTACAGTACTCTATTGTGTAGGAGCTACAATCTTATACACTGTGTAGGAGCTACAATCTTATACACTGTGAAGGCGCTACAATCTTATACACTGTGAAGGCGCTACTGTACTCCATTGCGTAGGAGTAGTTTGGAGGCAGGAATGTGGGTTAATAGGTCAGGGTTTTTCATCTTTCCTGCCATCTGAAAAGTATGTTAAATATCATGCTCTTACTTTGTGAACAGTTGGGGCCGAAGGTCTCGATGCCAGCACAGTTCTGACAGGCTAGTCCACTGAAGTTTTTCTCACAGAAACATGTACCATTGCCATACCGACTGTCAAAACACTGAAACAAAAGTCAAAGAAAACCATGAGAAATTGTTTTCAAAAACATTTAATTAATTCTAAAAAATATGACTTGCTAAACATTCTGTCACATCTGTTCCATGTTTAGATACAAATTTAAGAGACACACAGCAGGAAACTGTATCTATAAAGATACACGATGCAATCTACACTTGCTACAACTGACAGCTTAGTGTTCTTGAAGGAGAGAAAGGTATTTTATTCAATAGAAAATATCAAATGTTGTATTTTGTATTAAAAAATCATCACTTTGGCCTTTCCTCCCACAAGAAGTTGACACACAGCTACATAACTGAAATACTGTTCAAAGAGTGTATAAAACCATCACACTTTGGGAGTCGTCTGGTGTGTTTTATTTAACACTTTCAAGCTGACAAGCACGCTTGGATCCAAATATCAGAAAAATTAGAAACTTTACGCTGATGTTAGGGGCAGATATTTTTGAAATGTCAAGATATTTTCCTGCGTAAAACATTCTTCTGAAATTGTCGTCCAAAACAAGAAATTTGCTACACAGCTAATATCTCAACGGTTTGATAGTCGTTTCTGCTTTGACCATTAACATTAGGTCAAAGTTGAGGGTCAACTACTAGCATACTATTCATACCCCTTTCTTTCCCTCCCATTGCAAGGCTTATAGGGAATAGGGGAAAGAGGCTTAACATATCAATGGGGCTCCAATCCTGTTCCACCTTGCCCCTCCCATTACACAGCTGGGATCTCCCTATGGGGACAGCAAGAGAGTACACTCTGCACCGCCCTTATCCCCTTGCCCCTCCCATTACACAGCTGGGATCTCCCTATGGGGACAGCGAGAGAGTTCATTCTGCCCCGTCCTTATCCCATCATGCCCCTCTCATTACACAGCTGGGATCTCCCTATGGGGACAGCAAGCGAGTACACTCTGCCCCGTCCTTATCCCATCTTGTCCTCTCATTACACAGCTGGGATCTCCCTATGGGGACAGCAAGAGAGTACACTCTGCACCGCCCTTATCCCATCATGCCCCTCTCATTACACAGCTGGGATTTCCCTATGGGGACAGTGAGAGAGTTCATTCTGCCCCGTCCTTATCCCATCTTGTCCTCTCATTACACAGCTGGGATCTCCCTATGGGGACAGCAAGAGAGTTTACTCTGCATCGCCCTTATCCCATCTTGCCCCTCCCATTACACAGCTGGGATCTCCCTATGGGGACAGCAAGAGAGTACACTCTGCCCCGCCCTTATCCCATCATGCCCCTCCCATTACACAGCTGGGATCTCCCTGTGGGGACAGCAAGAGAGTACACTCTGCCCCGCCCTTATCCCATCTTGTCCTCTCATTACACAGCTGGGATCTCCCTATGGGGACAGTAAGAGAGTACACTCTGCCCTGCCCTTATCCCATCATGACCCTCCCATTACACAGCTGGGATCTCCCTATGGGGACAGCAAGAGAGTACACTCTGCCCGCCCTTATCCCATCATGACCCTCCCATTACACAGCTGGGATCTCCCTATGGGGACAGCAAGCGAGTACACTCTGCCCCGCCCTTATCCCATCTTGCCCCTCCCATTACACAGCTGGGATCTCCCTATGGGGACAGCAAGAGAGTACACTCTGCCCCGCCCTTATCCCATCTTGTCCTTCCATTACACAGCTGGGATCTCCCAGTGGGGACAGCTTAAGATTTTACTCTGCTCTACCCAATCTTTACAGCCTCCTGTCCCCCTGGGTTGGTCCCCCTGGGCTGGTCAAAAGCGTTCTAAGCCTAACAAACAAAACAAACATTTGTTTAAGTGTTCTTAAATTTGGTTTGCAACATAATCTCCCTGCTTTTCAATACACTTCTCATATCGATAGTGAAGCTTTTCAATGACAGTCAGGAAGAAGTTTTCTGAAGCCACCCTGAAAAACCCATTCACGGCAGCTTTGAGGTCATCATTGTCGTCATAGCGCTTTCCACGAAGGTGTTCTTTCAGCTTAGGTGGAAATCACTTGGTGCCAGGTCTGGTGAGTATGGAGGTTGAGGAACCCACATTGTCACACAGTAGCCTTTGTAAGTTGAGAGGCGTGAGAAGAGGCATTGACATGAAGTAGTAGCATTCCTCACCGCTTGATAGAATCTCTCAGGCAATGAAGCAAATCAGCATAGTAGACACCAGTAATCGTCTTTTGACTTTCTAAGAAATCAACAAGGATCACACCCTTTGCATCACAGAATACAGTGGCCACAACTTTCTTTACTGATCTTGAAGACTTGAATTTCTTTGGTGCAGGAGAAGTGGAATGGTGCCATTCCATGGACTGATGTTTTGACTCAGGATCAAAGTGGTAGACCCATGTTTCATCACCCATTACTACCGGTAATCTCTGTTTGAATTTGACGAAATCCTCCTCAATTAGCTCTAAATTTCATATGGTCATGAATTTCTTAGGGGGTACTTCTCTTAAGTCAAAATAAAGTCGATAGTTACAGTAAATACAAATTTTGATTAAATGCTGAACCATTTGTGTATTGCAAAATTATGTAATCCATAGAAGATACTTAGTTCTTTTAAGAACTGGAGATCCAAAAATCTACATAAATGTTAGAAGATGGAAAAATGTTGAAAAAAGTAAAAGAATCTGTCATAATTGTAATTTAAATGAGTTAGAGGATGAATTCCACATAATACTGAAATGCCCATGTTTTAATGATTTGAGAAACCTTTTTGTAGAAAAGAAATATTTAAGCAAATCCCCATCCAAATATTTTGTTAATTTAATGATGAATGATTATGATCCAGCTATAGTAGAAAACCTGTTAATATTTCGTAAAGCTTCACTTGTAAGGAGAGCATGTTATCATTATACTGTACACTCTGTTATCATTAAATATATATATATATATGATAAACCGCCATCACCCTTGATGTATAATTGGTATTTTTGCATACTTTGTTTACTTTGTATATGGGCCTGAGGCCTCAAGTACAAATAAAGATTGATTGACATTGATAAAATCAAAATCTTGATGACTGCTTGGTACTCGTTCTTTTCCATTTCCGTTTCCTTTTGGACTCCTATATCACATTTAGCTGTCTGTCACTAATATACAAACTTCCTCAACGGACCAAATACACTTGCAATGAACTACTCAAACTATGTACTACATTCTCTAGTTTACTTTGTTATGGCCCATGCTTGAAATTTAGTCAGGCTTAGATCATACACTGTAACTCACCTTGCCCCTCCCATTGCATGGCCTCTGGAAGCCCCCTGGACACGACTGACAGTCTTCACCATAGAAACCTGGGCAACATCGTTTCCTCTGTGGGTGAAAGAAACAAGTAATATTCTCACGTAATTTATATATATGCATTTGGAGAAACTGTTTTACTGAAAGTGAACTGGGGTCGTTTCAACAATCTAGGTTCACCACAGCAGCTTGTAACTGTCTGAATCTTGACCAAACAAACCAGTGATTGATATTATAATCAACAATCCATGCCTCTGGGGTACAATGCCATGCCATAAATAATGCTTACGCAATGCCACAGCTTTCTGAAAATCAACGTCTACTTGCAAAGGGTATGTTGCAAAACGAAGTTGCCAGACATTTTCATGTTCATGGAAACACAGTATTATCTCTTTGGAGATCCATGTATTATCTCTTTGGTCGTCCATGTGTGTGGTGTCACATCAACAAGACAACCATATTCGGTTGGTGCATCTACTGAGTTGATACAATGTAGTGGCAGAACTGTATGCAACTGGTTGAGGGAGCACAACATTCGCACCAGACGTCCAGCAATATGCCCAATTTTGCTTCCATGTCACCATCAGTCAAGCAAAACTTGATGGGGACAGAATCTGAAGTTCAGAAGACAAACTGGGACAGTATACTATTCACAGATAAGTCATCTGGACAGCTCTGATGGTCGTGCAAGGGTCTACAGGCATCCAGGAGAAAGTTTTAGCGATGCTTGCTGCACTCAATGTCAATTAGGGGGTGGAAGTGTAATGGTATGGGGTGGCTCCACAACTCATGGGAGAACACACCTCATCATTGTTAATCACTTGAATGACATAACATACAGGGACAACATCGTTCGAGATCATGTTTTAATCTTTTTGCAAATGCAGGGAAGTGATGTCACATTGCAGCAGGATAATGACAGCCAACACACCCATGCTGTGCTGCCATGGCCGGGTGTTTCTCCAGACCTATTCCCCATAGAACATGTCAGGGATGAGATAGAACGATGTCTACGACAGGACCATAACCTGCCAGTAATGCCAGCTCAGTTAGGCCAATCTAGTTGACATTTGGAATAACATCCCTCATGCAGTTTCTATCATCTGTTGTCTTCAATGCCCCACGGCTGCCTCGCCTGTATCAACGCAAATGGTTGTCACACCCAATATTGACATTGTTAATTGGGTTTTTACACCAACCATTTTAGGGGGTTTCGCTTTGTCTCCTGTTACCAGGTTGTCAATGAATTTGTTATGATAAATCATTGATTAGATAAATGACCAAATATTATGCTGTTATTTTCAATAACATTTACATGTCTTTATATGAAACCGAGCTACTTTTTCCCGCTGGAATACAAAAATATTGTGCAACTTTATACTAACTCCCTGGTGGTGTTGCTATGTGTTACACTGACCAGGTCTCTTGTGCAGATATATTGCATACCTGTATATTAACCCCCTGGTGGTGTTGCTATGTGTTATACTGACCAGGGCCCACTTGCACAAAGCGATCTTAGCACTAAGATGATCGTAACTCCCATACTTTAACATAGGCTTACAATAGTCGTAGCGCTAAGATCACTTTGTGCAAGTGGGCCCAGGTCTCTTGAGCAGATATATTGCATACCTGTATACTAACCCCCTGGTGGTGTTGCTCTGTGTTATACGGACCATGTCTCTTGTGCAGATATATTGCATACCTGTATGATGTTACTATAACTTATACTGACCGTGTATGTCCTGTTGCACATGCGAGCACATCCAACATATGCCACATACTGTCCCTCGATATTCACCCAGTAGCGACATCCACTTATAACAGTTTTCTGAAAGAAGGAAACACAGTGTAACAATTAACTAAACAGCTTCATAGATTACAGGAAAATAGTAGTACTACAAGAATAACATCATCATCATCAACATCATCATCATTCCCAACAAAAGTGCTCAAAGGTTACGTGTCATCAAGAGTTGCACCAGTAGTATCTTTAACAGCTGGTGCTGCAAACACAGTAACCTACACTACTTAATTATGCCTCAAAGTGAGATTGACCAATCAGAGAGCAGAACTACTTACCCACATGAGCCCATATACAGTCAGTAAAAATCAGAGATGGTTGTTACTGACCTAATATGAGACTGTTTACTGTCAGTAACAGCCATCTTGGATTTTCCAACACCCACCTCACATATTTCACAAGAACATTCTGGTGCAGAAATTCGTTATTTGACACTGTTTGTGTTTTAAAATAATTAATTGTGATGTGCAAAGACATTAATTTTCAAAGTAACTACGTTCATGAATTTATTACCAAAAATTATACAGGAAAAAAGCTCACAACGGAGGTCACTGATTTACAAAAGGTCACAACGTCATAGAACATAATACAGGATGACGTCACAAACAAGAAATGTGACGCTAATGATACTAACCCCCTGGTTAGGAGCAAGTTACAGTTGACCCCAGATTCCTGTTAACATGTGGGCAGTTTGATTATAATTCTATCCATTTTAGCTATAATACTTGTTTAAACGTTCACATTTAGGGCATTATATATTCCATTGTTAAAATTTGTGTTTACATTAAAGGGCATCTTCCCGAGGCAAGGGAGTTAACAAAAAGTCCAGTTTCCACCCTTGCCGAACTAAGCTGGTATTATGGAGTTACATTTTGGCTGGACTAACGAGTCTATGCATAGTTCAATCAAAATCGCGAAACAAAATCGAAATCCGGTTCGTAAACTGTCGTCCATATTTCGGTCGATTGCAGAATTTGCAAAGCATGTGCACCACCAACTTGTTGTCAGCACATACTTTCCGAATCTTGTCAAGTTTTTAATCATGGTGTTCATGTGATTTTATGCATTTCACGATGTAAGACCCATTTTATCACAATATAGATCTTAATGAACGATTAGATCACCCTGACTGGTGATTGGTCCATAGGAGAGGCTCAGAAGGGACATAACTGGTGGCACTACGATCAAGCCCAGGAATTCCAGCCTAGTTCGGCAAGGGTGGAAACTGGACTTTAGAGTCAGTTAACTCTCTTGCCTCGGGAAGATGATTAAAGGGCTGTATCGGAAACATATGTACTGGTCCTGTCATTTATACTGATTGTAAGTGTCAACTGTTCACTTTGACATGACATGTGCAATGAAGATACCAAAATGTGTAAACTTTTCGGCATAATCAGTTCGTTATGGTGTCTTTTGTGGCCGTAGACGGCGTCATATTAGGTCAGCAGAAAATATTGGGCAAGGCGTGACACCATAATTAATAATATACCTACACATATACCTACACATGAAGTACCCCATCACTCTAGACCTGTACACAATGGTCTATCTAAGTTATACCCTTACTCACCAATGGTTTATCCATGTTATACTTAGTACTCACCAATGGTTTATCTATGTTATACCCTACTCACAAATGGTTTATCTATGTTAATCTCTAACTTACAAATGGTTTATCCATGTTATACAAATACTCACAAATGGTTTATCTGTGTTATAAACAGTACTCACCAATGGTTTATATATGTTATTCCCAGTACTCACCAATGGTTTATCCATGTTATACCCTGTACTCACCAATGGTTTATCCATGTTATACCCTGTACTCACCAATGGTTTATCCATGTTATACCCTGTACTCACCAATGGTTTATCCATGTTATTCCCAGTACTCACCAATGGTTTATCCATGTTATACCCTGTACTCGCCAATGGTTTATCCATGTTATACCCTGTACTCACCAATGGTTTATCCATGTTATTCCCAGTACTCACCAATGGTTTATCCATGTTATACCCTGTACTCACCAATGGTTTATCTATGTTATACCCTGTACTCACCAATGGTTTATCTATGTTATACCCTGTACTCACCAGTGGTTTATCTGTTGGTAGTGGACATTTAAGGTCACCATAACACACATCGCAGGAACCCTGGAAGAAAACAACACACAACATATCCTCAGTGTATTGGTTGACTAACAATCTCATTAAAATCAGAGCTTAGTTTTCACTACCGCTAAACAAAGATCTGAGGACATCCCGTTACGGTTCACGTCAGTACGACCTTTCGCGAACTTTGACCGATCAATGAAATGACTGACAAGAAATTGACATTAGCCAATCACAAAGCAACTTTCTCGAGCTTTATGACACTAGTTTCAAACTGACGACTACGCTTCGAAACATATTTTGACATATTCTCGTTTAAAAAATTTAAAACTGATAAAAAGAACATTCTGGAATGGCTTATAGATGGCCTAGATTGTATGGATATAAACATAAAACCTGTAACTGTCATTTGGAATACCCTGTGTTAAATATTTCAAGGTTGCATGACCAGAATACACATTCCGTCTGTCACTTTCATGATCTGGTAAGCAACGCTTTGATTGGTTGGATGAAAGGTCGTTCTGACGTGACCTGTAATGGGATGTCCTCGATAGCGATAGCGAGAACTAAGATCTGATTTTAATGAGATTGGGTTGACTAAACACAGGCCTGTAACAGGGAGCCATACACTGTGTCTAATGCTGACCATTTCAAATCAGAATCCATTAGATAGACAAGTCTTTTGGATAGTGCTGACTGCTAACCAGAATCCCATAGACAGACATGTATACTAGACAATTCTCCACAGAAATAGCCTAGGGAGACACATATTGGACAGTGTTGACAACACACATGCAAACAAGTAACAATCAATGAAAACCTCTGTCAAAATATATTTTGGAACTGTTGAATTTTTATTACATGTAAGACCACTGCAGAAATGATCACATAAACTTTATTTCTATTTATAAAACATCTGGTTGAAGTGAGGCCATCTGCCTACCCGAACAATTCGGAAGGTCCTGACATCGCAGCGTTTGGGCAGCACGTCCCCCATGTCAGCAGGCACTAGGAGACTCTCGATGTGGTAGTAGATGCCGTTCCTGCAGGTAATGTCAGCCTGCGAGATGTTCACATTGCCGTTCAACTGTATCAGGCCCTAGGGACATCAGAAATGACATCATCATCAGTAAAACAAATCAGAAGACCTATTCTTACCTGGATCTTCACAGGTAAAAATGACTCTTTGAATGGTATTTCAGCAATGATGTGACAGTGGTAATGGGACTAAAATCCAAGGTGACACAAGTCATAGAAATTATCACCTCATTTTGTCACATTGCAGCAATGTGTCTAGAACTGCTCAGAGGCCGATTTTCGGGCCAAAATCTGCAACAAATGTCAGTAAAAATTCCCCAATTAAGAACTAAGAAGTTCTAATTTCCTGATAATACTTATAATATAACTAATGTGACAGCTTGGTAGAGGTCACTTGTATTTAGCTGTTGACAGGTCCAAAAAGTTTCATGTTTAGTTTAACATTATTGATTGAAGGGAACCAACAGATCCTGACAACACTCAGATCCTGACAACATACAGAATCCTGACAACACTCAGATCCTGACAACACTCAGATCCTGACAACACTCAAATCCTGACAACATACAGATCCTGACAACACACAGATCCTGACAACTCTCAGATCCTGACAACACACAGATCCTGACAACACTCAGATCCTGACAACATACAGAATCCTGACAACATACAGATCCTGACAACACTCAGATCCTGACAACACTCAAATCCTGACAACATACAGATCCTGACAACACTCAGATCCTGACAACATACAGATCCTGACAACACTTAGATCCTGACAACATACAGATCCTGACAACACTCAGATCCTGACAACTCTCAGATCCTGACAACACTCAGATCCTGACAACACTCAGATCCTGACAACTCTCAGATCCTGACCACACACAGATCCTGACAACACTCAGATCCTGACAACACTCAGATCCTGACAACACACAGATCCTGACAACATACAGATCCTGACAACACTCAGATCCTGACAACATACAGATCCTGACAACAGTCAGATCCTGACAACTCTCAGATCCTGACCACACACAGATCCTGACAACACTCAGATCCTGACAACACACAGATCCTGACCACACACAGATCCTGACAACACTCAGATCCTGACAACACACAGATCCTGACAACATACAGATCCTGACAACACTTAGGTCCTGACAACTCTCAGATCCTGACCACACACAGATCCTGACAACACTTAGGTCCTGACAACTCTCAGATCCTGACAACACTCAGATCCTGACAACATACAGATCCTGACAACATACAGATCCTGACAACACTCAGATCCTGACAACTCTCAGATCCTGACAACACTCAGATCCTGACAACTCTCAGATCCTGACCACACACAGATCCTGACAACACTCAGATCCTGACAACACACAGATCCTGACAACACTTAGGTCCTGACAACATACAGATCCTGACAACACTTAGGTCCTGACAACTCTCAGATCCTGACCACACACAGATCCTGACAACACTTAGGTCCTGACAACTCTCAGATCCTGACAACACTCAGATCCTGACAACATACAGATCCTGACAACATACAGATCCTGACAACACTCAGATCCTGACAACTCTCAGATCCTGACAACACTCAGATCCTGACAACTCTCAGATCCTGACCACACACAGATCCTGACAACACTCAGATCCTGACAACACACAGATCCTGACAACATACAGATCCTGACAACACTCAGATCCTGACAACTCTCAGATCCTGACCACACACAGATCCTGACAACACTCAGATCCTGACAACACACAGATCCTGACAACACTTAGGTCCTGACAACATACAGATCCTGACAACACTTAGGTCCTGACAACAACAGGGTTGCACGCTTGAAATACATTTCCCTCAGACCACATGACTGGCTACATGGTAGTCCTACCAGTTCTTGTCAAAAGTTGCAAGACCCAACTTTTATGGAATCAAGAATTGATGATGTATCAAACTTGAATTCTTATTAGTGAGTGAGTGAGTGAGTGAGTGAGTGAGTGAGTGAGTATGGTTTTACGATGCTTTTAGCAATATTCCAGCGGGGGACACCAGAAATGGGCTTCACATATTGTATCCATGTCGGGAATCGAACCTGGGTCCTCAGTGTGACAAGCGAACGCTTTAACAACTAGGCTAGAATTATTAGTAGTTGTTGCTACGAAAAACAACAAATGACATAACTTCTAGTTCAGTGTTTTAATAACACTGATGCTTCCCATGTAGCCTAGTTAGAGCCCTGTGTCCCCTGTGTGATGATGTATCCTAGGTAGAGCCCTGTGTTCCCTGGGTGATGTTGTAGCCTAGGTAGAGCCCTGTGTCCCCTGGGTGATGATGTAGCCTAGGTAGAGCCCTGTGTCCCCTGGGTGATGATGTAGCCTAGGTAGAGCCCTGTGTCTCCTGTGTGATGATGTAGCCTAGGTAAAGCCTTGTGTCCCCTGGGTGATGATGTAGCCTAGGTAGAGCCCTGTGTCCCCAGGGTGATGATGTAGCCTAGGTAGAGCCCTGTGTCCCCAGGGTGATGATGTAGCCTAGGTAGAGCCCTGTGTCCCCAGGGTGATGATGTAGCCTAGGTAGAGCCCTGTGTCCCCTGTGTGATGATGTAGCCTAGGTAGAGCTTAGACTTACGGTGGGTCTGATGCCTATACTGACAGCAGAGTTAGACAGGGAGATGATTCGCCTTTTATTGATCAAATCAGCGACATGCGTCTGAAATACAGGAAATATTTGTTACATTTACAGTTTTATCAGAACATGTCAGGGAAATGAAGCCTTCTAACAGGGTGATATGTTTTTGGCCCAAAGAAAATGAGTCATTTCTTGCACAAACTATGCAAACAAAAATGTGACGAAAAAATGTTTTGTTTCCCTGTATATCTCTGTAATAATGCTTCATATGATTACAGGATTGGTAGGCCTTATTAACAATTTATCAAGGTACTAATGTTATTTAGGTTGTCAAAATATCAAATGTCTTGTACAACCATATCCTTCATTAATGTTACATTAAATTGCAATTATCAATGTAGCATTGCAAAAATTAATAAATTGTGATTAATACTTTGTAATCATTACTAACTGTCATTGCTTGTTGATATCTAAAATTGAAACTTCTAACACTAGCATTTTGCCACTGAGGGGAGGTTGCATGTCCATATATATTTTCAATTTATTTGACACACTAACAATAATTGAATTCACTGAGCCTTTTTATCAAGGGAGTGCTCATTTATCATAGGGAAGGGACCATGAAAAAACGGTTAATTAAATAGTACAGTAATATGATACAGTATCATCGGCTCTCCCCCCCCCCAACCACCAACCTCCCCACCGTTCCAAAATTCCAAAACACCTCTCACCCCATCCCCTATAACAAACGACCAGTCCCTAACAAAGGAAGGATTGAGATTTTATGAACACTTCAACCTTTATGTTTACACTTCACTCTTTCAGATGTTAACATTACCGTTCCGGGGAATATATGGTTTTCCATGATTTTCCTTAGAGTAGGGAATCCGTCATAAGACATGAGGTATTCCACGGTGCCTTCCGGCAGATCGTCCCACACCCGGTTGTTGGGGACAAACACTGTCACGTTGCCTGCCTCAAACAGACTCTCCAGTCCCAGCCTCTGTAATCAGAGCACACTCACATACATATTGACTTGAATGTGAAGTGGTACATTGAATGACACATGTATACTGACTTGAATGTGATGTGGTACATTGTATGACACATACATATTGACTTGAATGTAAGGTGGTACATTGTAAAACACATACATACGGACTTGAATGTGGTGTGGTACATTGCATAACACATACATACTGACTTGAATGTAAGGTGGTACATTGTGTAACACATTCATACTGACTTGAATGTGAGGTGGTACATTGTATAACACATATATACTGACTTGAATGTGAGGTGGTACATTGTAAAACACATACATTCTGACTTGAATGTGGTGTGGTACATTGCATAACACATACATACTGACTTGAATGTGGTGTGGTACATTGTGTAACACATTCATACTGACTTGAATGTGAGGTGGTACATTGTATAACACATACATACGGACTTGAATGTGAGGTGGTACATTGTATGACACATACATACTGACTTGAATGTGAGGCGGTACATCATATGAAACATGTATACTGACTTGAATGTGGTGGGGTACATTGTATAACACATATATACTGACTTGAATGTGAGATGGTACATTGTGTAACACATATATACTGACATGAATGTGGTGTGGTACATTGTATGACACATACACACTGACTTGAATGTGAGGTGGTACATTGTATGACACATACACACTGACTTGAATGTGAGGTGGTACATTGTATAACACATATATACTGACTTGAATGTGAGGTGGTACATTGTATAACACATATATACTGACTTGAATGTGAGGTGGTACATTGTATAACACATACATAATGACTTGAATGTGAGGTGGTACATTGTATAACACATACATACTGACTTGAATGTGAGGTGGTACATTGTATGACACATTACAACACACAATACTGACCTGAACGTGAGACTGTATATTGTACAACAGATTACAATACATAATACTGACCTGAACGTGAGACTGTATATTGTACAACAGATTACAATACACAATACTGACCTGAATGTGAGACTGTATATTGTACAAAAGATTACAATACACAATACTGACCTGAACGTGAGACTGTATATTGTACAACAGATTACAATACATAATACTGACCTGAACGTGAGACTGTATATTGTACAACAGATTACAATACATAATACTGACCTGAACGTGAGACTGTATATTGTACAACAGATTACAATACACAATACTGACCTGAATGTGAGACTGTATATTGTACAAAAGATTACAATACACAATACTGACCTGAACGTGAGACTGTATATTGTACAACAGATTACAATACATAATACTGACCTGAACGTGAGACTGTATATTGTACAACAGATTACAATACATATTACCGACCTGAACGTGAGACTGTATATTGTACAACAGATTACAATACACAATACTGACCTGAACGTGAGACTGTATATTGTATAACACATTACAATACATAATACTGACCTGAACTTGAGACTGTATATTGTACAACAGATTACAATACACAATACTGACCTGAACGTGAGACTGTATATTGTACAACAGATTACAATACATAATACCGACCTGAACGTGAGACTGTATATTGTACAACAGATTACAATACATAATACTGACCTGAACATGGGACTGGAATCTGCGGTACCTCCCCTCCTGGTTTATCATATCCAGCACAGTTTTCTGACAACAGAAATAGAACCATAGAGTCACCTGATACAAAGTTTAAACACAGCCAACCAGTTTCTCAACAGTCATTGTTGCATTGTGCTGCAGAGAGAAACATTTCTAGTTACATCCCATCAGCCTGACGTTTGGGGAAAAAACATGTGGGTGACATCATGAGCAGCATCTAACACAATCAGGGTACAATGACACACAATCAACCTAAGCCTGGCCTCCTGATCTAATCTGTCGTTTTCACGGCAGGAACAGGATACTGAGGACCAACACTACCTCCGAATCACAGGGTGACAATCCTCCAGAAAATAACTTTGAATGTGTTTATCAATCAACTTATTTATCAAATATTTATGAAATTCATTTAAAATATATTATTTCATTTACTAATTCAACACTTCATCACAGGAATAGTTGTTCTAAAGTCAAGATTATACTGAGACTGTAAGACTATATAATTGCCGATCACCTTAAAGTTTTAGAATTAGAATTATGACATAGTTAGGTTATCATTACTGAGAGATGATATTTCACTTCTTGTGTACTTATAGATATAGAGGGGTGTTTGATAGTATGAAAGGCATACAATTTCATTGTCTTACGATTAACTTTAGATTCATGTTATCTAATATCACTAAACAATACAGTTTATGGTTTTGGTTTCATGCAGGTGCTCCAGCCTAACAGGTACCTCAGGATCTCCCACGATCTCTGGCTCCATGGTGATGAGAGAGTTGGTGATGTGGATCATGCCATTAGCACACACCAGATCTCCCTTCAGGATCTTCGACTTGTCGGACTGGCCTCGGAGTCGGTACTTGAACACCTCACTTCTCTACAACCAAGGGATGATTTCACGAACTCACAAACATATTCCTGAAGTACAAACTTCTCTACAACCAGGAGACGATTTCACGAACTCACAAGCATATTCCTGAAGTACAAACTTCTCTACTACCAGGAGACGATTTCACGAACTCACAAACATATTCCTAAAGTACGAACTTCTCTACAACCAGGAGACGATTTCACGAACTCACAAACATATTCCTAAAGTACGAACTTCTCTACAACCAGGAGACGATTTCACGAACTTACAAACAAACATATTCCTGAAGTAGGGTTAGTTTGTTTGTTGTTTAACGCCGCACTAAAAAAATATTCCAACTATATGACGGCGGTCTGTCAATAATCGAGTCTGGACCAGACAATCCATTGATTGACATCATGCGCATCGATCCACGCAATTGGGATACTATGACACGCATCAACCATGTCAGCGAGCCTGACCACCCGATCCTGTTAGTTGCCTCTAACGACAAGCTTAGTCGCCTTTTACGGCAAGCATGGGTTACTGAAGACCTATTCTACCCTGGATCTTCACAGGTCTCCTGAAGTACAGACTTGCAATAAAGCTATCAACTAATAAGCATATACGTACTTAGGGTCCAACCTTTTGATATTCGGGGAGGAGGAGGGGGGGTGCAGGTTTTTAAAAATTCTCTTCCCGAAAGTGCTGGACAAAATTAATTTGTCATTTTCAATTAGCAATATACCAGCTATATGACAGCAAGAAAATAATCAAGTTTGGACCAGACAATCCAGTGATGATATTATGAGCAAAGGTCAATAACATCTGGGTATGATGACATGCAATCAACCAAGTCACCGAGCCTGATCACCAGATCCATTAAGTTGCCATTACACCCAGCCAATGTTCCTGGGGACCTGTCCATACCTGGTTCCTCACAGTATAGCTGTATTTGGGAGGGTGATGTTAGGTATATAATGGTGGAACTGACCGCTCTGAGACTCAGTGTGAGGGGGACGCCCTGTAGGGTGAAATAGTCCGTGTGGTTCTGCAGGTCGTCCAGAGACAGCTGACCAATGATCATGTGTTGGCGGATTATCTGCCGAACCTTGTCCCTGTTAGCCAGGAAGGACTCAAACTGAAACAGAATGAAACACTCATAAAATCTCTGATCAAAATGTAAACATCTTGTACTGACACAATACAACACATTGTCCAAAATTACTGAGTGTCCTGTCTTCCTAGCTAACCAAGAGCGCTCTATAATGTTGAACAGCTAGTAGTTCTATAGTCTGGCTCAGTCCCTGAATCATTTTGTTTTCCTCTCATATTGCGCATATTTTCACACCACACAGGCATGCTCAAACCACATTGCCATCTCATCCCACCAGGTTCCCATTCACTGCTGGGTGAACAGAGACACATTTCGAACAAAGTCACTTGCCCCAAGGAGACACCACATGTGCTGCATGTGCTTCAGTGTAGGACAGGACTGAAGCCCTACAAAGTCTCTGCCCTTACTGAAATGAACAATCTCATTAAAATCAGATCTAAGTTCTGGCTGCCACTAAACAAAGATCGGAGGACATCCTATTACGGGTCACGTCAGAACGACCTTTCGCTAACTTTGACTGACCACTGAAATGACATACAAGAAGTCGACATCAGCCAATTAGAAAGAAGCTTTCTTGAGCTTTACGGCACTCGTTTCAACTTTGCAACTTCCATTTCAGACTACGCTTGAAAAATATGTTGACACAGTTCTTGATTAAAATTTTGAAAAAAGAACAAACAAACATTTCGGAATGTCTAATATATGGTTGATATTGTATAGCAGTGCTTCCCACATACTGTGCAATGCCTACTCTGTTCAAATGTTTATCACACGGAAGTGAGAGCTAGACGATAACTTGGACGGAATCAGTCGTACGGGACGTAACTGTCGTTCGGAATACCCCGTGTTAACGTTTTCGAGGTTGCAAGATTAGAAAATATATTCCGACTGTCACTTTCATGATCTGGTAAGCGACGCTTTGATTGGTCGGATGAAAGGTCGTTCTGACATGACCCGTAATGGGATGTCCTCAGATCTTTGTTTAGCGATAGCGAGAACTAAGATCTGGTTTTAATGAGATTGTGTAATGAATTAGTCAGACTCTGGTCTCCCATCTCACTGGTGCTCCTTTTCAATTTAAATGCTTGTTTCCATAAATATATTACATCTTCAGAAACTAAGCATTAGTTCTATAGCATTTGAATCTAAGGACCTCTTTATTTCTTAGCTTCAACATAAGGGTTTTGACAAGAACGTCTTGTCTTTCAATATTGATATCAAACACTGCAGGGGCGGTCAGGTAGCCTAGTGGTTAAAGCGTTGGCTCATCACGTCGAAGACCTGGATTCGATTCCCGACATGGGTACAATGTGTGAAGCCCATTTGTGATGTCCCCCGCCGTGATATTGCTGGAATATTGCTAAAAATGGCGTAAAACCATACTCACTCACTCACTCTATCAAACACTGCATACCACATGAGCATATATCAGCTGAATAAAAGAACACTCTGATTAATGTGAGTGAGTGAGTGAGTTGGGTTTTACGCCACTTTTAACAGTATTCCAGTTATATCACGGCATGTCAGCTTAATGTGGGAGGAAAGCCCGAAGTGATGCAGGTCTCAGACGTTTACCACTTCAGTGAAACCCATGAGCACGGGTATGGTGCTGGAAAACCTAGAAACATAATCGGGGCGAACTGGGATTTGAACCCACAATCATAGGTTTCTGGCGTGCCCAAGGGACGCAACTCTGCACAGCGAATTGCGGCGCCTTAGACGACTGGGCCACCCGTGCCCCCCTCTGATTAAAGCTGTATGAGAAAGCTTACATATTACATTTGGAAAGAACATGATCTCTTCTCTGTAACATGTAACTAAACACTTTACTGAGGAAAAACAGCTGGTCATATGTGTAGATTCCTCTAGATGGTCATGCTGTTTGCTTATGTCATTAATATGACGCCAGCCTGTATCTACATCAACAGTGTGTATGAGACAATGCAGTGATTGATATTATGAGCAACGATCCACGTTGTCAGGGTACAATCAAGTCACCAAGTCTGACCATCTGACCCATTACCTCACCTATAATGGCCCACTTGCACAAAACGATCTCAGAGCTGAGATGATTGTAACTCCCTTTCTTTAACATAGGCTTACGATAGTATTAGCGCTAAGGTCACTTTGTGCAAGTGGGTCCAGCAGTGGTCGCTAGGAACTTACATATTTATCCCGAAATCCTACGAGTGGAATTCTGTGAATAGTTTGTTCATAATATCAAACACTGGTTTGTTTGGTCCAGACTCGATTATTCACAGGCCTCCTTCATATAGCTGGAATATTGTAGAGTGTGGTGTAAAACAACAAGCAAACAAATGTTGCAAACAAACAAACAAACCAACTAACAGTAGAAGCTTTGAAGACGCTCTTGAAGCCCTGGCTTGCGGGGACGAAGATGGTGAAGGGACCCTGTAGTGTGAGGGCGTCCCTGTAGCCGGTGTTCAGCATCTCCATCGCAAACGTCAACTGGTTCTTCAAGTCAGGGTCATTTTCATTCAGATCCTCAAGGCGCTGCCAGAAATATTTGAAATGTTTTAATATTTGATTTATACTTCGCTGTGCATGCCTGTCAGAAAGGGACATGACTTAGTACAGTTGAATTATTATGTCAAACAATTCACAGGACCAGTCTCAGTCTCTCATACAGACGAGAAACAAAAATATCCCAAAATATCCCAAGTCTACAATACTTTGGCAAATTTACATTTCTTCATTTTCTGAAAATGAAGAGAATCATTGACGTCCTTTCTTATATATATTAAAAGACAATCTGAAAAAGAAATCTTAAATCAATTTTCGGCATATTGAGACAATTACACACAAAAACATAAATCTGTGCATATAAGACAATGTCTTAGCATAACAGGAAATAACACTTAAATTGTAAATCATCATGTCGAGAGATGTTTTATAGCACATTTCCCCTTTTCATTGACCGAGTTTATTATATCCGCTTGGTTCACCTGAAGTGATACGATGTAGTTTTTCACTGCGCCCAACATACAAAAGAATAATGTTTCCTGAAACCAAGAATGGGGGAAGTGCACTAGACACAAGAAAAAAATTATACCTTATATAGTTTTCATTTACAGTTTTCCATACATCTTGTCTTTACTTGGATTACCTGCATAATGTTCCCGTAGCACTCCTGGCCATCTCCCACGAAACCCTCGTTACAGGTACACCTGGAGCAGATCAAAGCAACAGTTGGTGATTACCTGTCAACAGTTCCATGTTGGTTCCATGCAGTGTGTTGAATAAGCCCCTGCCCGATAGCCCATGGCTGCTATATGGTTCTCTCTGGCTAATGAGAATAATATCTAGGTAGCCTGACTAGTAATACCTTTTGTTTGTTTGTTTGTTTGTTTGTTTGTTTGTTTGTTTGTTGTTTAATGCCGCACTCAACAATATTCCAGCTATATGACGGCGGTCTGTAAATAATCAAGTCTGAACCAGACAATCCAGTGATTAATTACATGAGCATCGACCCACACAATTGGGATCGATGACATGCATCAACCAAGTCAGCGAGTCTGACTACCCGATCCTGTTAGTCGCCTTTTACGACAAGCATAGTCACCTTTTACGGCAAGCATGGGTTGCTGAAGACCTATTCTACCCCGGAATCTTCACGGGTCTCAAGTCACTAGACAATAAAAGATCTGTCTATTATCCAGGGAGATTGTTGATTGTTATCTTCCTGAAAGAAAGGTTTTCTTTGGAGTTCTTTGTCTACTTCATAAAACTGGGGTAACTCAAGGATTCAATTCTCCAACAAGAAGACCCTGTTAGGATTAAGATTACCGCATTCGACGTAATAAGCGCCCATGGCGAAATTTGCTGATATATATTGGCAAGTGAACAATCCCAATTAGCACCCCTTCTGATTGATCAATGTACACAAGCCTTATTTATTCATGTATAATATGCACTTGTGTGTTATATGCACCCTTAATTATGGGCTATTAAATTCTGGAAAAATTCACCAAAATTATATTCAAAAAGAGCTCCCAACTTCTAATTTTGGGAGTGCCCTGTGTGCTTGTTACGTCGAAGAAGGTAACTACTTAAGTAGGAACAAATAGGTTCTGTTTAATATCAGTACATCTGACATCTTGAAAGAAAATAAATAGAAAAGAATAGAATAGAATAGAACTATTTAAATCCTCCAAAAGCGGTACCTTCATTTACACACTGGCCATTCCAATCTCTGATGATACTTACTCAATAGCATTGGGGCTGACTGTGATACAGGTGGCGTTCTTGTGGCAACTCACAGAGGAGCAAATATCAATCAGAGAACACCCATAGCCTGGGACATAATTCTCAAACCCTGCCATACAGTCACAGGCACTCTGCAAGAAAGACAGTGGTCATATCATAAGGCACAGTTAGTCATATCACACAGCACAACCAGTGGTATCACACAGCACAACCAGTGGTATCACACAGCACCACCAGTGGTATCATACAGCACCACCAGTGGTATCACACAGCACAACCAGTTATATCACACAGCACCACCAGTGGTATCATACAGCACAACCAGTGGTATCACACAGCACAACCAGTGGTATCACACAGCACCACCAGTTATATCACACAGCACCACCAGTGGTATCACACAGCACCACCAGTGGTATCACACAGCACCACCAGTGGTATCATACAGCACCACCAGTGGTATCACACAGCACCACCAGTGGTATCATACAGCACAACCAGTGGTATCAAACAGCACCACCAGTGGTATCACACAGCACAACCAGTGGTATCACACAGCACCACCAGTGGTATCATACAGCACCACCAGTGGTATCACACAGCACAACCAGTTATATCACACAGCACCACCAGTGGTATCATACAGCACAACCAGTGGTATCACACAGCACAACCAGTGGTATCACACAGCACCACCAGTTATATCACACAGCACCACCAGTGGTATCACACAGCACCACCAGTGGTATCACACAGCACAACCAGTGGTATCACACAGCACAACCAGTGGTATCACACAGCACAACCAGTGGTATCACACAGCACAACCAGTGGTATCACACAGCACAACCAGTCATATCACACAGCACCACCAGTGGTATCATACAGCACAACCAGTGGTATCACACATCACAACCAGTGGTATCACACAGCACCACCAGTGGTATCATACAGCACAACCAGTGGTATCACACAGCACCACCAGTGGTATCACACAGCACCACCAGTGGTATCATACAGCACCACCAGTGGTATCACACAGCACCACCAGTGGTATCATACAGCACAACCAGTGGTATCAAACAGCACCACCAGTGGTATCATACAGCACAACCAGTGGTATCACACAGCACAACCAGTGGTATCACACAGCACCACCAGACATATCACACAGCACCACCAGTGGTATAACACAGCACCACCAGTGGTATCACACAGCACAACCAGTCATATCACACAGCACCACCAGTCATATCACACAGCACAACCAGTGGTATCACACAGCACCACCAGTGGTATCACACAGCACAACCAGTGGTATCACACAGCACAACCAGTCATATCACACAGCACAACCAGTCATATCACACAGCACCACCAGTGGTATTACACAGCACAACCAGTCATATCACACAGCACCACCAGTGGTATCACACAGCACCACCAGTGGTATCACACAGCACCACCAGTGGTATCACACAGCACCACCAGTGGTATCACACAGCACAACCAGTCATATCACACAGCACCACCAGTCATATCACACAGCACAACCAGTGGTATCACACAGCACCACCAGTGGTATCACATGATCAGTCCAATTTACAATCAGATCTTAGTTCTCACTACCACTAAACAAAGATCTGAGGACATGCCATTAGAGGTCATATCAGTACAACCTATCGCAAACATTGACTGACCAATGAAATGACTAACAAAAAGTCGACATTAGCCAATCAGAAAACAGCCAATCTCAAGCATAACTGCACTAGTTTCAAACTGGCGGCTTCCATTCCAGATTGCATTTTGACAAAGTTCTCAGTTCAAAACTTAAAAACTGAATAGAAACAAAAGACCTGAATGATGGCAGAGCTTGTGTAGTTCCTACGGGCTATGGTGTCCATGTGTAGCGGCAATAAAATTTCATGATGTGATTCAAACCACAGACCTTCTGATCAGAGGTCAGACGCCTTGTCCACATGACCAAAGAGGTTAACCCTATCAGCAAGCTGACAAGGTAAGGATGTCATCTGAGGGATGACTCCACGCCCTGCTACATACTCCCCTGTCAACAGAAAGCACGTACCGGGCCGCAAAGTAGGGTACTGAGACATATTTTGCTCAAATATAATATGAACGTGCTCAGCCCGACGTTGGGCACCAATGTAGCGGCCATAAAATTTTCAAGTTCTGTGATGGATCCACACCACAGACCTTCTGATCCAATTTCGGATGCCTTGTCCACAGGACCAAATAGGTAAACGTCATCAGCAAGCTGACAAGGTAAGGATGTCATCTGTGGGATGACTCCACGCCCTGCTACACTGAGAGGGTAATGTCATCTGTGGGATGACTCCACACCCTGCTACACTGACAAGGTAAGGATGTCATCTGCAGGATGACTCCACACCCTGCTACACTGGCAAGGTTAGGATGTCATCTAGGGGGTGACTCCATGCCCTGCTACACTGACAAGGTTAGGATGTCATCTGTGGAATGACTCCACGCCCTGCTACACTGACAAGGTAAGGATGTCATCTGCGGGATGACTCCACGCCCTGCTACACTGACAAGGTTAGGATGTCATCTCATTGGGATGACTCCATGCCCTGCTACACTGACAACGTAAGGATGTCATCTGTGGGATGACTCCACACCCTGCTACACTGACAAGGATGTCATCTGTGGAATGACTCCACGCCCTGCTACACTGACAAGGTTAGGATGTCATCTGTGGAATGACTCCATGCCCTGCTACACTGACAAGGTAAAGATGTCATCTGTGGGATGACTCCACACCCTGCTACACTGACAAGGTAAGGATGTCATCTGTGGAATGACTCCACGCCCTGCTACACTGACAAGGTTAGGATGTCATCTGTGGGATGACTCCACGCCCTGCTACACTGACAAGGTAAGGATGTCATATGTGGAATGACTCCATGCCCTGCTTCACTGACAAGGTTAGGATGTCATCTGTGGGATGACTCCACGCCCTGCTACACTGACAAGGTTAGGATGTCATCTGTGGGATGACTCCATGCCCTGCTACACTGACAAGGTAAGGATGTCATCTGTGGAATGGCTCCATGCCCTGCTACACTGACAAGGTAAGGATGTCATCTGTGGGATGACTCCACACCCTGCTTCACTGACAAGGTTAGGATGTCATCTGTGGAATGACTCCATGTTCTGCTACACTGACAAGGTAAGGATGTCATCTGTGGGATGACTCAACGCCCTGCTACACTGATAAGGTTACATATACAGGCCACTGGAGGCCACCTACCCTGTTTGGTCCCATGTACATGCAGACTGACTTGAGGACCACGCATCCCCCATTGTCCACCTGGCAGGGGTTGATGGGCTCGCAGTAGACACCGTCGCCTGAATACCCTGAGTTACAGCTACACTCATGTTCAGCCGGGCCAGTAGGGGTACACGAGGCGTACACGTGGCAGGGGGACTCCACACAGTTGTCAATGGCTGTAGGAGATAGGAAACAAACTGTATTTCTCTGAAGCAGATAACTGTGAATCTTTATACACAATCATTAGCAACATATTATGTCTACTCCATTGTCATTACTTCAGTTGAGATAAACCATCATCAATACACTACATTCCGCCATCACCCGTGAATACATACAGTTGCTTTGAAGTGTAGTTGCTATATTTAATCAACCAATCAAGCCATGGTCTGGGTCATTTAATTTTCATTTGTTTGTTGTTTAACACCACACTCAGCTACATTCCAGCTATATGACGGCATTCTGTAAATAATCAAGTCTGGACCAGACAATCCAGTGATTGACATCATGCGCATCAATCCACACAATAGGGATACGATGACATGCATCAACCAAGTCAGCAAGCCTGACCACCTGATCCCATTAGTTGCCTCTTACAACAAGCATAGTCGCCTTTTACGGCAAGCATGGGTTGCTGAAGACCTACACTAACCCGGATCTTCATGGGTTGGCCTGGTTCCAGCGAGATGGATGCCAGTGAGTGCTCTGACTAATGAGCACTCAGATTACATCGGCTCTATTTCTCATGCCATAGTCACATGTATTAATGTGTGATGGAGGAGGTGAGGTGAAATGGGGTTTAACATCACGTCCAAGATTATATAGCGACGTGCATGTACGTGTATGTGTTTGTACTAGTTCGGACTGATGCTAGCTCACTGAGATACCATGCCGCAGTTTAACATGAATACCCACTCAGACACAGTATCTGAGCCGACCAGTCCTTGTTTTAGCCCCTTAATGCCGAGCGCCAGACAGGGTAACAACAAGTACCATCTTTTAAAGTCTTTTGGTATGACGCGGTCGGGTTCGAACCCCGGACCTTCCGCTCTCCATAATCGGGGCGAACCGGGATTCGAACCCAAAATCATAGGTTTCTGGCGTGCCCAAGGGACGCAACTCTGCACAGCGAATTGCGGCATCTTAGACGACTGGGCCACCTGTGCCCCCACAACCAACATAGGTTGCTGGTTAACTCTTCTAACCTGGGCCCACTTGCACAAAGCGATCTTAGCGCTAAGATGATCGTAACTCCCATGCTTTAACATAGGCTTACAATAGTCATAGCGCTAAGATCGCTTTGTGCAAGTGGGTCCTGGAATCCCCACAGAGAATCATAAAGCTGAAGCACATTGGGCTTTTTGTAGAATTTGGAGGAAAAATTGATTTTTGTGAAAACCATAACAGTCATCTGGTATTCACATAAAATTCACAATTTTGATGCCTACAAAAACACTTTAACCCTCTTCTGCTAAGTTTCAGGTAAATTGATCCAGCGGTTTGGGAAATGGTGTAACACCATGTCACTGTAGTTCACCTGGTGCATGAATATTTTCCATTGATACATGTGTGTTGGCAGGTCACATATTTGCAGTGAGATGAGAGAGATTTTCAACACTAAAGTAAGACAAGTTTGGCTTAAATGCAGGATTTGAAACATTTCACACAGCAAGGTATCAATGTTAACAGTCCAGTGAAATCAACAGAAAACTAGGTGTTATTTAGAAAGGAAAATAAACGCAAGACACATAAAGTATAACTCAGTCAAAAACATAACAATTACTGCTGAGCTACATGTGAGCTAACACTGATGGCAATGATGACATGTGAACTGTGAGTCCAGGTGAGCTAACACTGATGGCAATGATGACATGTGAACTGTGAGTCCAGGTGAGCTAACACTGATGGCAATGATGACATGTGAACTGTGAGTCCAGGTGAGCTAACACTGATGGCAAGCTAACACTGATGGCAATGATGACATGTGAACCATGAGTCCAGGTGAGCTAACACCGATGGCAAGCTAACACTGATGGCAATGATGACATGTGAACCGTGAGTCCAGGTGAGCTAACACCGATGGCAAGCTAACACTGATGGCAATGATGACATGTGAACCGTGAGTCCAGTTGAGCTAACACCGACGGCAAGCTAACACTGATGGCAAGCTAACACTGATGGCAAAGATGACCTCGTAACCCTGAGTTCATGTGAGCTAACATTGATGACAATGATGACATGTAAACCTTGACTTGAGCTAACACTGATGATCAGTTACTTACGAGAACATGTCTTATTGTCTCTTTCCTCATAACCATGGTCACAAACACAGGTGGTGTTGCCCTCAATCTCCTGACATCGGCTGTTATTGTCACACGTCATGTTCTCACAACCGAAAATATCTGAAGAAAAGAATCCACTCATGTGTACATCAGCTTCAGCCTAAATGTGAACATATCATATTCATCTCCCGCACTAGCTCCACCACTAAGGATATGTGCCTTTGCTTACTCTTGTGGGAAGATGGTTATCAACTTTGATACTTTATATTATTTAATATGGGAACAAGTGAGTGAATGTGGTTTCGCACAATACTCCACAGGGGTAACAATGTAACAAAACGATTTATCTCAGTTAATATTTACAGGAAACAATCTGAGTTATTAGTATTTTAAATACCATGTGACTACCTTACTTTAACATACACAAAGTACATACCAACATATCATGTATAGAAATGACAAAGAACATGCTTTGTGGAATGAACCCAGCTTATAAACCTATACATTGGAAACTCTATTAAGTAAGAGAGTTCTTTCTATAGGCATTAAAACCTATTGTGAGGTTTTACTTTCAAAGTAAAACCTATTAAGAGGTTTTACTTTCAAAGTAAAACCTATTATGAGGTGTTTTTTTCTTTCGGGAGATTTTACTTTGAATGTAAAACCTCAAATCCCAGGTTTAACCAAGTAACTGAAAAATTGACAACAAGTAGCAATTCAAAATTTTAATTCAATTAGAATTTAATGTCATGTGTACAGTTCCGCGTGGACATTTAAAAGCGACATCACTTCAGAGTCTCTGGTGAAAGGACAGCGAGGTTTCAAAACACATGCTATTAAACAAGTGCTTATCAATGCTGCACAATTTGCACGTGCAGTAACTGCTAGCCTTTACGTCACAACTACCTCTATGTAACAGTTGGATTGTTTAAAGTCGAAAATCTTGTAAAGCAAAAAAACACCTTTCAAATTTTTGAATTTTCGTTTTGAAAAGTTTAAAAGAAGTGGAATATTGCAACACAAACATTTAGAAACTGAAGATTTAACTTTCATTTAAAAGTAAGTATTTTAGTTGTGTTTTGTTGTTGACACATCCAAGTGCTAATGAACGCCTGGCAAGTCAGCGAATTTCACGTGCAAGTTATGATATCACGTCTTCAAGGAAGCGCTATAATGAAGCGCCTCATTTATAGATGCTCGTTATAACATTTAATCAATTTAAACGGTTTATAAGTATAGAAAAATACTTTCCCTCGGTTTTGGTAGACAGAGCATGCCCTGGGGGTCGGGAAAAACCGCGGGGGCTGTCTACCAAAACCTCGTAAGGGTGTTTTCTCCAATACAGAATGCATGGGGTGCTGTGGAGGTATTCTGTATTGGAATCCCCACAGAGAGACAAGCAGAAGAACTGGGGATCTATTCTGACCCAGAATCCCCACCAGGAGAAAAGCAGAGGTACTGAGGACCTATTCTGACCCAGAATCCACACAGGGAGACAAGCAGAAGAACTGGGGATCTATTCTGACCCAGAATCCCCACCGGGAGAAAAGCAGAGGTACTGGGGACCTATTCTGACCCAGAATCCACACAGGGAGACAAGCAGAGGTACTGAGGACCTATTCTGACCCAGAATCCCCACCGGGAGAAAAGCAGAGGTACTGGGGACCTATTCTGACCCAGAATCCACACAGGGAGACAAGCAGAGATACTGAGGACCTATTCTGACCCAGAATCCACACAGGGAGACAAGCAGAGGTACTGGGGACCTATTCTGACCAGAATCCCCACAGGGAGACAAGCAGAGGTACTGGCAACATATTCTGACCCGGAATTCCCACAGGGAGACAAGCAGAGGTACTGGCAACATATTCTGACCTATAATCCCCACAGGGAGACAAGCAGAGATACTGAGGACCTATTCTGTTCCAGCATCCCCACAGGGAGACAAGCAGAGGTACTGGGGACCTATTCTGACTCAGAATCCCCACAGGAAGACAAGCATGGAGTACTGAGGACCTATTCTGACCAGAATCCCCACAGGGAATAAGCAGAGGTACCGAGGACCTACTCTGACCCAGAATCCCCACAGGGAGAAAAGCAGAGGTACTGGGGACCTATTCTGACCCAGAATCCCCACAGGGAGAAAAGCAGAGATACTGAGGACCTATTCTGACCCAGAATCCCCACAGGGAGAAAAGCAGAGATACTGAGGATCTATTCTGTTCCAGAATCCCCACAGGGAGAAAAGCAGAGATACTGGGGACCTATTCTGACCCAGAATCCCCACAGGGAGAAAAGCAGAGGTACTGGGGACCTATTCTGACCAGAATCCCCACAGGGAGACAAGCAGAGGTACTGGCAACATATTCTGACCCGGAATTCCCACAGGGAGACAAGCAGAGGTACTGGCAACATATTCTGACCTATAATCCCCACAGGGAGACAAGCACAGATACTTGCAACATATTCTGACCTATAATCCCCACAGGGAGACAAGCAGAGGTACTGGCAACATATTCTGACCTATAATCCCCACAGGGTGACAAGCAGAGGTACTGGCAACATATTCTGACCTATAATCCCCACAGGGAGACAAGCAGAGGTACTGGGGACCTATTCTGACCCGGAATCCCCACAGGAAGACAAGCATGGAGTACTGAGGACCTATTCTGACCAGAAGCACTACAGGGAGACAAGCAGAGGAACTGGGGACCTATTCTGTTCCAGGATCCCCACAGGGAGACAAGCAGAGGTACTGGGGACCTATTCTGACCCAGAATCCACACAGGGAGACAAGCAGAGGTACTGGGGACCTATTCTTACCCAGAATCCACACAGGGAGACAAGCAGAGGTACTGGGGACCTATTCTGACCCGGAATCCCCACAGGAAGACAAGCATGGAGTACTGAGGACCTATTCTGACCAGAAGCACTACAGGGAGACAAGCAGAGGAACTGGGGACCTATTCTGTTCCAGGATCCCCACAGGGAGACAAGCAGAGGTACTGGGGACCTATTCTGTTCCAGGATCCCCACACAGGGAGACAAGCAGAGGTACTGGGGACCTATTCTGACCAGAATCCCCACAGGGAGACAAGCAGAGGTACTGGCAACATATTCTGACCCGGAATTCCCACAGGGAGACAAGCAGAGGTACTGGCAACATATTCTGACCTATAATCCCCACAGGGAGACAAGCAGAGATACTGAGGACCTATTCTGACCAGAATCCCCACAGGGAGACAAGCAGAGGTACTGGCAACATATTCTGACCCGGAATTCCCACAGGGAGACAAGCAGAGGTACTGGCAACATATTCTGACCTATAATCCCCACAGGGAGACAAGCAGAGATACTGAGGACCTATTCTGACCAGAATCCCCACAGGGAGACAAGCAGAGGTACTGGCAACATATTCTGACCTATAATCCCCACAGGGTGACAAGCAGAGGTACTGGCAACATATTCTGACCTATAATCCCCACAGGGAGACAAGCAGAGGTACTGGGGACCTATTCTGACTCAGAATCCCCACAGGAAGACAAGCATGGATACTGGGGACCTATTCTGACCCAGAATCCCCACAGGGAGAAAAGCAGAGGTACTGGGGACCTATTCTGACCAGAATCCCCACAGGGAGACAAGCAGAGGTACTGGCAACATATTCTGACCCGGAATTCCCACAGGGAGACAAGCAGAGGTACTGGCAACATATTCTGACCTATAATCCCCACAGGGAGACAAGCAGAGATACTGAGGACCTATTCTGACCAGAATCCCCACAGGGAGACAAGCAGAGGTACTGGCAACATATTCTGACCTATAATCCCCACAGGGTGACAAGCAGAGGTACTGGCAACATATTCTGACCTATAATCCCCACAGGGAGACAAGCAGAGGTACTGGGGACCTATTCTGACTCAGAATCCCCACAGGAAGACAAGCATGGAGTACTGAGGACCTATTCTGACCAGAATCCCCACAGGGAATAAGCAGAGGTACCGAGGACCTACTCTGACCCAGAATCCCCACAGGGAGAAAAGCAGAGGTACTGGGGACCTATTCTGACCCAGAATCCCCACAGGGAGAAAAGCAGAGATACTGAGGATCTATTCTGTTCCAGAATCCCCACAGGGAGAAAAGCAGAGATACTGGGGACCTATTCTGACCCAGAATCCCCACAGGGAGAAAAGCAGAGGTACTGGGGACCTATTCTGACCAGAATCCCCACAGGGAGACAAGCAGAGGTACTGGCAACATATTCTGACCCGGAATTCCCACAGGGAGACAAGCAGAGGTACTGGCAACATATTCTGACCTATAATCCCCACAGGGAGACAAGCACAGATACTTGCAACATATTCTGACCTATAATCCCCACAGGGAGACAAGCAGAGGTACTGGCAACATATTCTGACCTATAATCCCCACAGGGTGACAAGCAGAGGTACTGGCAACATATTCTGACCTATAATCCCCACAGGGAGACAAGCAGAGGTACTGGGGACCTATTCTGACCCGGAATCCCCACAGGAAGACAAGCATGGAGTACTGAGGACCTATTCTGACCAGAAGCACTACAGGGAGACAAGCAGAGGAACTGGGGACCTATTCTGTTCCAGGATCCCCACAGGGAGACAAGCAGAGGTACTGGGGACCTATTCTGACCCAGAATCCACACAGGGAGACAAGCAGAGGTACTGGGGACCTATTCTTACCCAGAATCCACACAGGGAGACAAGCAGAGGTACTGGGGACCTATTCTGACCCGGAATCCCCACAGGAAGACAAGCATGGAGTACTGAGGACCTATTCTGACCAGAAGCACTACAGGGAGACAAGCAGAGGAACTGGGGACCTATTCTGTTCCAGGATCCCCACAGGGAGACAAGCAGAGGTACTGGGGACCTATTCTGTTCCAGGATCCCCACACAGGGAGACAAGCAGAGGTACTGGGGACCTATTCTGACCAGAATCCCCACAGGGAGACAAGCAGAGGTACTGGCAACATATTCTGACCCGGAATTCCCACAGGGAGACAAGCAGAGGTACTGGCAACATATTCTGACCTATAATCCCCACAGGGAGACAAGCAGAGATACTGAGGACCTATTCTGACCAGAATCCCCACAGGGAGACAAGCAGAGGTACTGGCAACATATTCTGACCCGGAATTCCCACAGGGAGACAAGCAGAGGTACTGGCAACATATTCTGACCTATAATCCCCACAGGGAGACAAGCAGAGATACTGAGGACCTATTCTGACCAGAATCCCCACAGGGAGACAAGCAGAGGTACTGGCAACATATTCTGACCTATAATCCCCACAGGGTGACAAGCAGAGGTACTGGCAACATATTCTGACCTATAATCCCCACAGGGAGACAAGCAGAGGTACTGGGGACCTATTCTGACTCAGAATCCCCACAGGAAGACAAGCATGGATACTGGGGACCTATTCTGACCCAGAATCCCCACAGGGAGAAAAGCAGAGGTACTGGGGACCTATTCTGACCAGAATCCCCACAGGGAGACAAGCAGAGGTACTGGCAACATATTCTGACCCGGAATTCCCACAGGGAGACAAGCAGAGGTACTGGCAACATATTCTGACCTATAATCCCCACAGGGAGACAAGCAGAGATACTGAGGACCTATTCTGACCAGAATCCCCACAGGGAGACAAGCAGAGGTACTGGCAACATATTCTGACCTATAATCCCCACAGGGTGACAAGCAGAGGTACTGGCAACATATTCTGACCTATAATCCCCACAGGGAGACAAGCAGAGGTACTGGGGACCTATTCTGACTCAGAATCCCCACAGGAAGACAAGCATGGAGTACTGAGGACCTATTCTGACCAGAAGCACTACAGGGAGACAAGCAGAGGAACTGGGGACCTATTCTGTTCCAGGATCCCCACAGGGAGACAAGCAGAGGTACTGGGGACCTATTCTGTTCCAGGATCCCCACACAGGGAGACAAGCAGAGGTACTGGGGACCTATTCTGACCCAGAATCCACACAGGGAGACAAGCAGAGGTACTGGGGACCTATTCTGTTCCAGGATCCCCACACAGGGAGACAAGCAGAGGTACTGGGGACCTATTCTGACCCAGAATCCACACCGGGAGAAAAGCAGAGGTACTGGGGACCTATTCTGACCCAGAATCCACACAGGGAGACAAGCAGAGGTACTGGGGACCTATTCTGACCCAGAATCCCCACAGGGAGACAAGCAGAGGTACTGGGGACCTACTCTGCCCCAGCATCACCACAGGAAGACAAGCAGAGGTACTGGCAACATATTCTGACCTATTATCCCCACAGGGAGACAAGCAGAGGTACTGGCAACATATTCTGCCCTATAATCCCCACAGGGAGACAAGCAGAGATACTGAGGACCTATTCTGACCCGGAATTCCCACAGGGAGACAAGCAGAGGTACTGGGGACCTATTCTGACCCAGAATTCCCACAGGAAGACAAGCATGGAGTACTGAGGACCTATTCTGCAGAGGTACTGGCAACATATTCTGCCCTATAATCCCCACAGGGAGACAAGCAGAGGTACTGGCAACATATTCTGACCTATAATCCCCACAGGGAGACAAGCAGAGGTACTGGGGACCTATTCTGACCCGGAATCCCCACAGGAAGACAAGCATGGAGTACTGAGGACCTTTTCTGACCAGAAGCACTACAGGGAGACAAGCAGAGGAACTGGGGACCTATTCTGTTCCAGGATCCCCACAGGGAGACAAGCAGAAGTACTGGGGACCCATTCTGACCCGGAATGCCCAAAGGGAGACAATCAGAGGAACTGAGGACCTATTCTTACCCAGAATCCACACAGGGAGAAAAGCAGAGGTACTGGGGACCTATTCTGACCCGGAAGTCCCACAGGAAGACAAGCAGAGGTACTAAGGACCTATTCTGACCCGGAATCTCCACAAAGAAACAAGCAGAGGTACTGGGGAGGTATTGTGTCTGCCCAGGGTATCTGTAGACAGGGAATACTTACTGATATCACAGTAGTCTCCGGTGAAGCCGCTAAAGCAGTCACATGATCCATCTCCAAACACTCCACTGTTACATGTACCATTCCCACACTGGCACTCTACAACACACACAAAAACGAACATGAAGGCTTCATTACCAAAACATTTAACAGCAACTTCAACTGGCTCAAACAAATATTCTTGTTTTGTGGGATCCAGTAAAAGGAGTTTTTCAATGGTCATAGAAAGGTGAGTGAGTGAGTGAGTTGGGTTTAACGCCGCTTTTAACAGTATTCCAGTTATATCGCGGCGTGTCAGCTTAATGTGGGAGGAAAGCCCAAGTGATGCAGGTCTAAGACATACCACTTCGGTGAAACCCACGAGCACGGGTATGGTGCTGACAAACCTAGAAACATAATTGGGGCAAACCGGGATTCGAACCCACAATCATAGGTTTCTGGCGTGCCCAAGGGACGCAACTCTGCACAGCGAATCGCGACGCCTTAGACGACCGGGCAACCCGTGTCCCCGGTCATAGAAAGGAAGGTGAGACTTGTTATTGTTGCCTTGCCCAAAGGGGCCACAAAAAAGAACAGATAAGTATATGGTTACAAATAGAAAAGAAGATGTTTTGTTTGTTTGTTGTTTAACGCCTCACTCAGCAATATTCCAGCTATATGATGGCGGTCTGTAAATAATCGAGTCTGGACAATCCAATGACTGACATCATGAGCATCGATCCACGTAATTGGGATCAATGACATGCATCAACCAAGTCAGTGAGCCTGACCACCCGATCCCATTAGTCGCCTCTTACGACAAGCATAGTCACCTTTTATGGCAAGTATGGGTTGCTGAAGACTATTCTACCCCGGATCTTTTCGGGTCAGAAGAAGATGAGGAAGATCTTAAATTATAAACAAAATCCACATTTCTACCCACCTTCAGTACAGTTTTGGCCATAGAACGTATTGTTGGCACACAGCTCACACACTGTACCAGTGAAATTCTCCTGAAAAGAATCATTTATTGGATATCATGCATTGAACTATTTAATATGAGGAAATATCAACTGAACCTCAAAAGAGACTTTGCACATTTGAAAATAATGTGATTTTAAATTAATTGTACTGGTTCAAACCCAAATAGGCACAAACGCATCATTGTTGTACCTGTAAGCTTTACTGACAATGTGCACGTTTTTGAGAAAATGTGAAAAATGTAAAATCACGTGATGTCATGGCTGGTAGAAACGCATGTGCCACAGGGGTATTTAACTGCACAGTAGCAATGTCAAACATCCACATTGTGAAAAAACACATGTTTTGTGATATGACAGAATATGACAATATTGTGGGATATATTTTGTGTTGTGTTGTTCCAGTCCCCTCACTTACATCACAGTCACAAGTGCCAATCCCATCGAAGCCCTCACTGCACAGGCCGTGACCACTGCACACGTTGTCGGCGCCGCCAGGACACTCTGAAGTAAGACACAAGGGGAGTTAGCAGTACCTCAATGTGCTTGTTGTTGCTGCAGGCTTAATGTCTATACTGACCTTGACCCGACTCAGAGGGAGGGGGGGATAACTCTTGTAACTATTGATACATTGCAATTCTCCATGGCCCTAAAACATCCATCTGAAGGTAATTTTGGACCCGTGAAGATCCGGGGTAGAATAGGTTTTCAGCAACCCATGCTTGTTATAAGAGGAGACTAACGGGATCAGGGGGTCAGACTCACTGACTTGGTTGATGCATGTCATCATAACACTATTTCGTGTATCGATGCTCATGATGTCAATCACTGGATTGTATGGTCCAGACTCGATTATTTATAGACCGCCATCATATAGCTGGAATATTGCAAGATCGCGGTGTTAAGCAACAAATAAACAAACAAACATAAAGGAAATTTTGAAATAAGGAAGTTATTGAAGCACAGAAGGATACAATAATATGGATGTTGTAAAGGTGACCAAATAATGTTGATGCTGGCTGTAAGTTGTTGCCATGTTCCTCTGTAAGCGTGTTTTTGTTCCGCCCAAAATTAGTACCGCCCCGGAAAAAACAACAGCATTAAATACATAAACTTGCAGTGGAAATTGTCCGACCCTGTCGTGAAAAGGTCCCATTGACAGGAACAAATGTTTGGGTGTGTTTATGAGCGATGTTCCTGTATAGTGTTAATGTGCAACATGAAAAACAGGGAAACTAAGACATACAATCACAATAAAAGAAAACATAAACTACATGAAAAACAAAAAGAAAATGATAAAAAGGAAAGCATAAAAAAAAATTCTGATAGTTAATTAATAATAAAGGCAAATGTGAAAACATGTAATTATAACAGAAATGGATAGAATGCAGAACCCATAGCGCAGCCGAAATCGGAAGTACTGTAGCATGATAATTCCAAGAAATAATTGTGTGTGTGTGAGTTGGGTTTTACGCCGCTTTTAACAGTATTCCAGTTATATCATGGCGTGTCAGCTTAATGTGGGAGGAAAGCCCGAACTGATGCAGGTCTCAGATGTTTACCACTTAGGTGAAACCCACGAGCACGGGTATGGTGCTGACAAACCTAGAAACATAATCGGGGCGAACCAGGATTTGAACCCACAATCATAGGTTCAAGAAATAATTGTGTTTATGTCACGTAAATTAAACTGAAAGGCAGTCGTCTGTGAATACTACGGCTGTCGGGATGAAGTATCCTGAAGACTTCATAGAATTCTTTTACGATGGTAACAGATAAAAAAAAATAAAAAAATGAAAGAATATTGGTTTTTCAAAAATAATAATTTCATTTTATCATGGGATTTTTCACACAGAGCATTTGTATATATATATTGCAAGTAGTTGTTCCATGCTTAAAATTCATGTTACCTTTCTTTGAGAATAAACATTAATGTTTGTTAAATAAACTTGTTGAAATTTATTACAAATTTTACAAACAGTAAACCATTTTGGTGATAGGCTTATCTCAAGTAACAACAAAATTCCTCTGATCTAATAGTGTTTTAGTAATAGTATATTATAATTGGTATTTAATTATTATTACAAAAGTGAAAATGCTCTCAATAATCATTAGTTTTATAAGGCCAGTGAAGAATAGGTTTTCAAACTCAACAATATTTTGAAAATGGACAGTGTCATTATTGGGTTCTACTGGCTGTGGCCATGTTAATAGAAATTTCAACACTTCCACTGATGAGGAAGTCTGTAGCAGTTTGACCAGAGGCCCAGCCACTGTAGTGCACTCAAGTTGGCGTCGTCGGTAGTATACTAGGTAATGAGACACTTCCTGCCAAGTACACACATAGCTGGTGACTATCTACACTGTGTTGCTATTGTCACTGACCACTAATGTTTGAAATCATTTTAAAACCCAACAAGACAGTCAGGCAGCTGACCCATAAGTGTTGCCTGCCCATCTTCAATGTTACCTGCCCACATTCAGATGTTATTAATATTGAAAACCGCAAAAAGGATAAGAGACAAATTGCGTCTTGATTCAGTTGAAATAATGCAAACAATTACCGTATTCGACGTAATCAGTGCCCAGGGCACTCTCAAAATTAGAAATAGGGGGCTCTTATTAGAATATAATTTTGGTGAGAAAAAAAACAGAGTGGAAAGATTATAAATTTTGTGGTTTATGCTGACAGCCTGAAATGATATAAAAGGGGAATCTGTGCACATTATACACGACATATATATTTTCCAGAATTTAATTGCCTATAATTAAGGGTGCATATAACACACGAGTGCGTATTATACACGAATAAATAAGTCTTGTGTACATTGATCAATAGGAAAGGATGCTAATTGGGATTGTTCACTAGCCGATGTATTAGCAAATATCGCCATGGGCGCTTACTAGAGCAGGGCGCTTATTACATCAATTGCGGTTCTTGGGTGAGTGAGTGAGTGAGTGAGTGAGTGAGTGAGTGAGTTGGGTTTAACGCCGCTTTTAACAGTATTCCAGTTATATCACGGCGTGTCAGCTTAATGTGGGAGGAAAGCCCGAAGTGATGCAGGTCTCAGACGTTTACCACTTCGGTGGAACCCACGAGCATGGGTATGGTGCTGACAAACCTAGAAACATAATCGGGGTGAACCGGGATTCGAACCAACAATCATAGGTTTCTGGCGTGCCCAAGGGACACAACTCCGCACAGCGAATTGTGGCGCCTTAGACGACTGGGCCACCCGTGCCCCCCGATACTTGAGAATCTACAAGGAGGTACTAATTGTAACTCCTTGGGAATACGTTTTAAAACTATCTGCCAGACAGTCAGGCAGGTGGGGGGAAATTTCATGCAGCCCAACAGAAAAGTTACAAGCCACGGACAGGTGGGCAGGCAGTTATTTCAGACCCTGCTCACCACTACAGATAGTTGGTCAAGGGTCTGCAATACACTGACATACAGATAATAATAATAATATATGTGCTGATCTGAGATCTCGTGCTGGCTGGTGTAGGGTAGGACGTTCACTCAGATAGGAAGGTGCTGTACTATAGTAGCACTGGCATGCAATGCAAACGACTTTGTATTCAATCCTAGATCTTATTGGAAGCCAGTGTAATGATTTTAATAAAGGAGTGACATGTGCACACTTATTTCGTCTACATATCAATCTGGCAGCAGCATTCTGCACACGTTGCAATTTGCTACATAGATCCTGTTTGATATTAATAAGCAGACTGTTAGCATAGTCCAACCTGGATAGGATAAGTGATCTCACCAGCTGATGTGCCGCATCGTATGTCAACATGGATCTTATCTGACTGATATTTCGAATGTGGAAGATGCATGTTCTGCCAGGGGTGTATACATGTGTACCACAACATACACCCCTGGGAGTGCCAGCCTGTTGTTTCAAACATGCCTTGACTAATAAAAATGTTTAAAAAATATATTATCACTTCCTCAGCAGCTTGTTTGAGTCCTCACATGGGTGCAATGTGAGAAGTTCATTTCTGGGGTCTCCCACTATGATATTGCTGGAATATTGCTAAAAGTGGCATTCAATCATACTCACTCCTCAGCAGTTCATTCAATTTAGTGAGTGAATTGGGCCTGAGGCTTATTCAAATCCACAATCTTAGGTGTCTGGTACGACTAAGGGATGCATTTACAGCAAACTGCAGCCAACTGACCGTTAAAGTGACATATATGTTGCATGGTACAACTAGCATCTTCTGTGTTCTGATACTTAATACAAAAGGGGCAATCAGTCAGTTAAAGAAAACATTTTGCAATACCCTGGTACACTAAATACATATTTAAAAGCCAGTTGTTTTCCTACTATCACACAGTAAACACAGTAAACACAGGAAACAGTTAACAGTGTCCCATGACCACTGATGGGTGTGAAAGGATCAGGTGTTTTCAGATTTGCAGATTTCTTTCACTTTCTATTTTACAACTAACAATGTCTTTGTCTTGTAAATTCCCCACCTCCTTCTGCAATAGGAAGCCAGGCAGCTGTCTAACATTTGAGCTTTACACCAGGAAGAGTGAGGAGGGTTTTCGTTCTGATAGTAGTGGAAGTGGTAACAGCCCTTAGATGTAATCTGAGTATAGCAAAGCCTTGTCACAGTCACAAGTTGAACAATGTTACAACATGATGTCCTGCCGAGTACTCTGTGTCACATGTTTACAACCTGTACTTGAAAGTGTTTTGAGGCCATCCATATTGCATTGTGTTTCTCATCCACAACCTCAACCATTAGGAGAGCGTGTGGGCGGAAAAAAGAAGAAGAAAATATCTTTAAATATTTTTCACAAATGTGTAACTTAAACTATGCGACAAAAGAAAGTATAGGTTGGCAATTTGTTTTCCTAAAAACAGCGATAACTAGTGGAAAGTGTATTGGGAATATGACTGCCCAGGAACAGGTACCAAAAAACACCTCACCCGAACGCTCCATCTTTGACGGCGCTCGTGCAGTGACAAAAAAATGGTGATACAGGTTTCCCGCCTATGGCATAAACTGCACGTACATGTTAGCTGTATAAATGCGGTCGTCTGCTGGGTATAACCATACGTGATGAAAGCACACAAAAGAAATGCCACGACTGTCACAGGAGCAGAGAGAGAGAGCCATCGGTATGGCCGAAATGGGGGCAACACAGGTCCAAATTGCCAGAAGGTTTGGTTGTACACCATTGACAGTAGCCAGGCTGATTCAACGGTACAGGCAGACAGGGAGGACACAGGACAGGCCTAGAACCGGACGACCCCGAGTGACAACACCAGTGGAAGACGGTCAGATATGGCTCATTCACCTGCGAAACATATTCGTAACGGCGACGGTGACGGCAGCAACAGCATTGGGACATCCCATTAGCCAACGTACAGTACTACGACGACTCTATACTGCTGGAATCTGAGCATATCGTCCTTTCCGAGGAATGGTACTGACTGCTCAAAATCGACGCCTGAGACTGCGATGGGCGAGGCAGGTTTGAC